CACTGCACTCCAGTCTGGGTGACAGAGTGAGACTCCAACTCAAAAAAACCCCAAAAAACAAAACACTGTGAGCAATTGAAATTACATTAATGATAATAATACAATATATAGAAATCTGGCTTCTATTCACACTCTGTAATTGACTTACTTCTGTGACATTGAATAAATAGGTTAAAGTCTTTGAACTCATAATTTCTTATTTTAAAAAAACATGAGTTGAGCTAGGTTATCACAAGGTGCCTTTTCAGTTCCAAAAATGTATGATTTTTTTTCCTACGGCAAGTTTATAGGTACAAATCGTATAAAGAAGAGGGTGATGGGAAGAAATACGCATGAATATGATTTTGGTCATTGACAATACTTCTCAAGTGCTTATGGGTATGGGGACTTACAATAAAGTAGAAACTGAATATTTATTTCAAAAAGGAAAAAAAATGTGTGAGACTTTCCAACAAGGATAGAAAAGCTATAGTGAAGGGCATTTTTACAAATACCATAGGAATGCAAACTGGCAGCGAGAATTGCAAAATGTTTATTAATCTGTTGTGCCTATTCTTGTATTTGTCGGGAAAGTGACAGAATAGAAATTAATAAATATTAGAAATAAAAGAAAAATGTAGTGTTTGTTATGAGAAGGAATTTGATATTAAATCACATAGTGTGTGATATACAGTACTACATTTTTGTAAATAAATACAAAATTTAAAATTTGTAGTATCTCTTTTAAAATCTTTTAAGAGTCAATAACCATTTCTCCTGAAAGAATACTTTATTAACCCTTTTAAAAATCCTTTTTACTTTTTATTCTTCATGGTCTATTTTCAGATAAAATTGAGTTATTCGTTAAAGTAACTATTTAACATGAAAATAATTTAAAAAGAAATTTTATATCTTTCCACCATCCATGTTTAATTCCTTTGTATGTCAATCAGTTGTTGCGCCTTATTTTTTCCTGTATCACCTGTTTAAACAAATTTTCAGAATAATTGACATAGCATGGACGTGGGAAGCTGGTTTTCACAGGGAGAAAAAAGACCTTTTAAACTTAAAGTAATTATGAAATAAGAATAACTAACAAAGTGCTACACAAATTTAGCTCTTTTTGTTGTCATTGTATTTTCAGGTTTAACTGAACTGAATGACAGTCCAGTTCCCCTAGAACTTGAGCGCTGCAAGTCTCCTACTTCAGGTAAACATAAGTGGTACTTTTCAGGTCTCTGGTAATTCACTGCAATACTCTATTGCTTTATTTTCATGATTCTTATAATATAAAATTTATAATTTTAGCAATTAAGTATAATTTCATTTCTTAAATTTACTGTAAGCAAATTTGATTCCAAAAATCAAATGTAAATAAATGTCTTTTAAAAGTATTTCTGGCCTACCAACTTGGGAAAATAGTCAGACCTTGTCTCTACAAAAAGTAAAAAAAAAAGAAAAAATTATCCAAGTATGGTGGCACGCTACTGGAATCCCAGCTATTCCGGAGTGAGCCATGATCATACTACATGATACTACACTCCAGCTTGGGCAACAGAGCAAAACTCTGACTCAAAAATATATTTATTTATTGCCCCAAATAAAATTAAGATTAGTGGACCAAGTACAGTGGCTTATGCCTATAATCCCTGCACTTTGAGAGGCAGAGGCGAGAGGATTGCCTGAGTTCCAGGATTCAAGACCAGCCTGGGCAACTTGGCAAAACCTGTCTCCACAATAAATCCAAAATTAGCCAGGTGTTGTGGTGCATGCCTGTGGTTCCAGCTACTAGAAAAGCTAAAGCAGGAGGATAGCCTGAGCCCAGCAGGTCAAGGCTGCCACTGCACTCCAGCCTGGGCAATGGAGTGAGACTTCAACTCGAACAAAACAAAACAAAAAGATTAGTAGTGTGAGCATAAAACTTTTAAAGACATTTTTATTTTGTAGAGAAATAATAAACATTAAAAAACATTGGTAATATACAGAAACTTTGACATCTTATTGGCTAGAGCTGAATTAGTGGAAAATATACACTGTATGTGTAGGAGCAAACGATACCATTCCTCTGGACCACAGTTTGGAAACATGTATGTTCACTGACAAAGAAAGAAAAATGATACTATATATGATGTAAAATAAAACATCAAGATAAAGTGTGATAGCACTAAAATATATTTAAAATGTGAGAATAAAGATTCCTAAGGATAAGTCTTTAAGGTACTGTATATTTTAAAAAAAAGGTTAAAGCATAAATCTAAATCTTTGGGTGGTAGAATTATGAGTAGTTTGACTATTTATAAAATTTTACCTGATTTTTCTATAATGTATTTTTGGTTTTATTCAAGTTTTTAAGCACAAAAATATTAGTTGTATCTTTGATGTTGAACTATACAGTTGCTTTTACAGAGTATCAAAAATGGTAATTTCTTCTTATTTACATTATTTTTATTTGAACTTTGTACAAATTTATTAAAATCTAATGTCTTTATAAAGCAATGAATTTGGACTTGTAGAAATTAATGTAGAATTGCAGCATTTCTTCATTGTATTCTATCCCTTAAAAGCTGTTCTTTATCCATATCTTTAGGAATGTAAACTATGTAAAATCTAGTTGTGTCCTATATAAATTTTTCTTTTAATCATATCTTTTTAATCCTTATTTTATTGCTTTTATTCTAAAGATTGTATTATATATTGATCCTTCCTTTTGCATTCTCATTGGCATCATTCTAATTTAAGTATTTATTACTTCATACATTGAGAATCACAAAAGTATTCTAGAAGGTGTCTCTGCTTTCTATCTCTCCCTTGTAAAATTCATCTTGCATGTCATGTTGTAAAATTAATATTCTTAAACTATTACTTTAATCATATTTTCCCATAGTCATAAATTTTCAATATAAAATATGACTCACTATCCTCTATCAAATTTATATAACTTAACTTTAAATTCACATGCATAATCTGAATTTGACTAATGCTACATCTATATGGTTCAAGCATCAAAAAGTAATTGAATAAATCTCTCCTTCTCATCATGATCCCATACATTGTTTCCATCCTCCTGACCAATACATATTATTAGTTTCTTATTTATTCTTCTAGACAATTTGTGTTTGTAAATGAACCAAAAAGACATATATTCTTTTTAGTTTCCTGTTTTATGTGCTTTATTATATCGTGCTTGTTTTATTTTACAGGATATTTTATCTTTCAATTTAAATACATAAAGCACTTCCTTATTCTTTTTAAAGTTGTATGTTATTGACTTGTATACATATACTATAATTTATTTAATCAGTTTACCTGTTAAACAACATTTAGTTTGCTACCAATCTTCTGTTATTGCAAATAATGCACTGAGTAACCTTGGTACATACCTCATTTTTAAATGTGTGTAAGTATATCTATGTGATAAATACCTAAAATTGAAGTTGCTGGAGTTGCTCAAAGGGCGAATGCCTATTTGGTATAAATACTTCAAAATTGCTCTCCTTAAGATTTGCTACAGTTTTCCCTCCTTCTAACAATAAAATGCAAACATTTATCAACTTTTAAAAAAAATTTTTTTTTTTTCTGAGTTGGAGTCTCACTCTGTCGCCCAGACTGGAGTGCAGTGGTCGCTCCTGGCCACCGCAGCCTCGACCTGCTGGGCTCTGGTGATCCTTCCGCCTCAGCCTTCCGAGTAGCTGGAACTACAGGCGCACGCTACCATGCCTGGCTAATTTTTGATTTATTGTAGAGATGAGGTCCCGCCAAGTTGCCCAGGCAGATCTCAAACCCGCGGGCTCAGGCATTAAAAATTTTTTCAAATCTCATAGGTAAAAGGATATGTCAATGTCATTACAATTTGCATTTCACATATTATAAGTGATGTTGAACCCTGTTATATGTTTAAGAGCTCTTTAGATTTTTTTTTTCTGTGAACTATCTATGTATATACTTTGCTCATCTCCTATAGCGTTGTTTGTCTTCTTCATATCAATTTGTAGGACCTCTTCTTAAATTAAGGAACTTATCCATTTGTTACATGAGATCCAAATATTTTCTTCTCAATTGAACTTTTAACTTTGCTTGTAGTATCTCTTCCCTCAAGTAGGTTTTGTTATAAGACATTGATCTTTTAAGTCTCTTGGTTCTTAATGCCCAACAGTTTAAATACTGTTGGGATTATCTGTTCTTTAAAGTCTTGGTAATATTTCTCTATCAAATCATTTATTCATTATAATTTCTTAGTTTATAAATTTGTGCTTTCTCTTTCATGAAAAATATTTTCATTATGGAAATTTTACAAATATGTAGAAAAGAAAATATATTCTAATTTTCTTTAATTGGGCTAGCAATTGATCTATTTTATTTTCACTTAGCCTCAAACAATAGATTTTACTTTTTGTTTGTTTTTTTAACTTAGTTTTTTAATGTTTTAATCTGTTATTTCCTGTGCTTTCTATTGGTTTATCTTTCCCTTTTAAACTCTTTGTGGTATGTTGTATATGGTTTAATTCACTTATATATTATTATTTCTTACATGCTGACATAAATGCCAAATTTCCCTTTGAACTCTGCATTAAATATATCACATAGTTTTTCATAAACTGTTAGTTTATTATCATTATTTTCTATATAGTAGACAATATGAATATTTTTTTGACCTAAAAGTTGTTTAAGATAAATATATAGCATTAAGTAGCTATAAGTGTTACTTCATTATGTTATTTAAGCATTTCAAGTTTTTACTTATATTTTGATCATTTGACCTATCGAGAATGAAGAATAGAGGAATGAAAATATACTAATAATGTGTTTCTGCCTATTTTTCTTTGTATTTGCTATGTGTTCATTTTTAAGAATATTCATACTATCTTATTTTATGTATGTATAGTCAAAAAATCTGCATTTTAAAATACAAACTTTATTATTGATTACCATTATTTCCTTCATATTATGTGTTCTTCACCTGGATTCCACCTTGTTTACCATTAATACCACAGCTCTCACTTTTTTATTTGAAAATGTTTTATACCTTGGTCCTACTTCTTTTGGGGTAAATATTTTTTACTGAGGTATAATATACAAACCTCAAAGTGCGTAAATCTTAAGAGTTCAGCTAGATTAGATTTTACAAATGAATCCACCATGTAAACAACTTTCAGATCAAGATATAGAACATTACTAGAATTCCAGAATTTTTCCCATGCACTTCTCAGTCACTAACTGTGATGAAGGTACCTACTATTCTGACTTTTATTACCATAGATTATGAGTTTTGTGAGTTTTATTGCCATACATTAATTTTATAGGACTCTCATATGAATGGAACTGTGCAGTATTTACATTTTTTCTGTCTCTTGCCTATTTTGCTCATCGTTATATGATATTTATCTATGTTGCTGCAAGATTTTTGTTGCAGTATAATATTCCATTATATTAATATATGTCAAGTTTTATGCAGTTTATTATTGCAGAATATTTAAGTGGTTTTTAGTTTGGGGTTTTTATACATAACAGTCATATGACCAATCTTATACATTTTTAAAGGCAAATATAAATCCATTTCTGTGCACATATATCTGGGAGTAGAATTTTTGGGTCATAGGGTATACATATGTTCAGCTTTAGTAAATATTTCCAAAGTTTTCTAAAGTGGTTGTACCAATTTTACTTCCACTGACAATATGTAAGAGTTCCATTTGTTCCTCATGCTTGTGAATGTTTGATATGGATTTTTTCCCCAATTTTAGTTGTTCTGAAGAGTATGTAGCAACATCATTGTGGAATTTAATTGTATTGTACATCCCTGATATCTAATGATTTTAATGAAATTTTTATGCTTATTGGCTACTTTAATTTCCTCTTTTATAAGATGTTTAAGTATTTTGCTCGATGTTATTGGGTTGCCAAGTTTTCTTATTGATTGCTTATTTAGAGGAATTTTGCGTATGTGTGCGCATGTGTGTGTGCTGCGTTTATATCCAGCGAATATATATGTCCAACAAATATTTACATGTCTTTGTTGGATATATATAGTACAAAATACCTCCTCCTACTCTGACTTGTCTTTTATTCTCTTAAAGAGAATAAAAGACAAGTCAGTATTTTAATGAGCAGAAGTTTTAATGCTAATGTAATTCAATTTGCCAATCTTATCTTTTATTGTTAGTGCTTTATGTGTTTTGCTTAAAGAAAATCTGTTCACTCCAAGAACATGAAGCTAT